TCACTGTGGACCATGTGATTGGTGCCTCTATTCCTAAGGCCGAAGTGCGCCTTGAAAAGAGCACTGTGGCCATTACAGGACACACTCGTTGGAAAATGCACGGCAAATTGAATGAATTCCTTTCATAATGGTGAACGGAGAGTTCAATGAGATTTCTCCGGCGGGAGCGGCTACCGGAAATAGAAAGTCTGAGATTTCCAGAAGGATTTCGAGAAAACCGGTATTGTTGATCACATCGTGCGCGCCTGATCTAATACTGACTGAAAGTACAGAAAGGTGGCATGCTCCCTTTAAAGAAAATTACAACGGACGGGATTTTCCACGTCGTAAGGACCCGTGTAAAAAACAACGAGAAATAATGTACTGCGCCAGACACTGATGGTTTCCATACATGTATGACTTTTTCGTTTGAAGTAAGCTGTATTTGGTTTAGCAGTTAGCACCATTTGATTCGGGATTTTATGCACTCTGTGAAAATAAATCATTTATATTTCTTTGGGCAGGGTTATGCGTGACCTGACGTGACCAGAAATTCTGTTCAGCCACCCTATTTATTTGACCTGAAAAGCTTGATGCAACTGGTGTGCACATGCCATTAAAGGGAGTATGCCTCCTTTATTGTACTTTTCACTAGTTGTTAAATCAGTTACGTGCGATTTGATCAGAAATACTAGATCGGAAACGCCTCAGAATTTCGATTTGAAGCAGCCGATCCCGTGGAAAACATCTAATTAGACTCCCTGCTCACCACTATGAAAACAATACATTTGATTTGCATTGCTTTTCATCACGTGCGTGTTACGAAAAATTTGCAACACAATAGTTTATCAACATGCTTGTTTAAAAACACTGCGAACGCTCGAAGCACTCTGCTCAGCCAAAAAACAAAACGCAAACACGAAGGTATTGTACAGCGAATTCATTAAACGTCACGCCATGGCTTCGAGTTATCCTCCATGGCGTTTACAGCATTAGCTTTTTCGGGGCGCACTTTGGCTTTGGGAATGGGAACATTATCTGATCCAAAGTGATGCACTGGCCCAAACGTCAACATAAGCGCTTCTCGGTAACAGGCCCTTATCGTCCGCCGGACCAATCACAAACGTTCTCTTATTCACACCAGCAGAGGTGCCACGGCGGTTGTCATGACGACGGCGATCGGGACGACTGCAGGAAAGAAGCGTTGCGTTGTTACAAAGCGCTGACCTCGTAATTTGGCTTCGAAATTAATTACTACTGATATCCTTATGCATTCATGGTGCTGCATTAGCACCACCCATTAGCACCACCCATTAGCACCACCCATTGCTATTATTAGGCGTAACTGGTTCCGAGGTTTCACTTGGGTATGCTTTTAAAATATGTCCTAAAGATGGGTTACTCCTTTGAGGTCATGAGGTACACGACTTAATGCACTACCTTAACATGTCGACAGACATACACGTCATGAGGTACACGATCTAATACACTAATCTTCTATTATTCTTACACATACTACTACTCAGATCAAATAAGTAGGGTGACCAGGGACACAGCCAGAGCCCTCGCAGGTGGGGCACAGGGCTGACAAAGAGCCCCTGATGGTAAAAGCCTTCCACCCCCACAACAAATCGCCGGATGTGGCCCATTTGTTAATGAGAGCAACTTTTCTTTACCCAACTTGCGGCTAAGAAAAACTACCCTCAAGAGACCCCTTTTTCGTACCCAATGCAGGCCCATTTGTAAATGAGGACATGCGCGCTCGCACATCTTAGCGACCAAAACCGCGACGCCAGGTTTGCAGTCTCCTAAAGGCTGCGCACCGTCGGCCCTGGGGCTAACACTAGGCCGCGGCCAACAGGTAGACGAAAATGATGACCCATTTGCAATGAATACCTTTGAAGGATTTTGAACACCAAATTGCACACTAAGACATATTCCAGGCGTATATTTCACCTGTGCGGTTTTAGGTTATTGGGAATATCTCTATCGTCTTTAAAGCACCGCTAAGTGGTGCTGGAATCTGGTGATGGAATTGGAAGCGTAAAGACAAGATCTTTATTTTACGCGTTACTCTGTGAATCTGTCTAAGAGGACAACCTCAAAATTTAACAAGAAGATTCGCCTAATGTAATCTTTGAACTGCACAGATTCATTGTGAAAAAAAACATTCAACATTAGCTTACGGCGGTCACTGTTACGCGCAAGGCGCCCGCCCTTGACGTAACTTGCACTGGCCAACGCCGTTCGGTTTTACAAAAACTGCAAACCAGGCCATCGCTACCCTTGTTCCCCGAGATCGCGGGCGTGTCATTGCGGCTTTATGACGCACTCAGCTGCTGGGGCTGTGTGACATAGCCTGCTCTCACTGGCGGGGAGGGCGGGCGCCGCAGAGAACCGAACCACGTGCTGTGGTTTTCGAGACGCACAGTGGTCAAACCTTTTGATATGATTTGCTTCACTAGTCGATTCTGCAAAATAATTGACGTTCTCAGGGAAACATGGGATGGTCTTGTGCGTTTTGAACTAATTTCGACTCACTTCATTCAACACTACTGAAACCCCTCATTTCTGTCCGGTCAAGGGGCTCCCTTAATACCACAATACCGAGCACACTGTTGTTCACGGTCAAGGGCTGGGTCATTATTTCCCAACGCGGTGTGTTTTCCGACCGTCATTCTGATGACAGGGCGGCATCCCCTGGCCGATACGGAGGCCCTGAGAGGGATCCGCCGTATCACATTGGTCCGCTCCCTGACGCCAGAGGCCTTTCTAGCCCGCGCAGTTGACCCAGATCCCGCATAGGCCGTCATTAAAGCAACAACATCCCTGCTCGCCGCAGGTGGCCAAATAATTGACACATAGACTCCAGTTGGGCTAAGGGGCCAATGCGAAATACGGTGGGGGCCCACCGTTCGGTACTGCGGGCCCCCACTGGCACATGACTCTTCTGTCGCCTCAATGTGAGCATTCATCATAAGCCCTTATGTTCCTTCATTGTCAGAGGGGCCCGACCAACGCAAGGGGCCCAACCAACGCAAGAGACCCTCTGTCATTCGGGCCCCGTCCCCATTCCTGTTGACATCTTTTCCTGACCCTTAGAGGCCCCTTGTTGACACAGAATGTTCTGTTAGGCACTGTGGCCCCTGGACGATACAGAAGCCCGACCACATGCAGGTCGCGGGCCCGGCTTTGTGTCCATGATTGGGAAATGGGCCCCAGAGCTCAGACCAGCACGGAGCCGACTGTTCGTTGTCGGAATCTCTGGCCAAAATAGAGGAACGCTCTGTTCCAGGTGCAAGAGAACCATCGGCACAAGAGATCATTTCGCTGACAATGGAGAGCCGCCAATGGGTGGGGTCCTTAATGTAACCCACAGCCAGCCCTTCGGACCTCCAGCCTTCCCATCGAGCCCTTGATCGTTGGTCTCGAGAGACCCTCCGCCCCTCTTTGGGCCCTCTCAAACACCGCTCGACTCTGGGCCACGTGCCCCGCTGGTCCCCTGTTCGGCACCGGACCCCGAACCGGCACAGGAGCCCCCCTGTTGTCAGTGATCCCGAAGCATTGCAAATCGCGGACTCCGGCCTCGTTTCTGCTTGGGAAATGGGTTTCAAGGGTTCAGACGGGCATGAAGCCGACTACTCGGTGTTCGTGGTCTCTGACCGACTAGGCACCCGTATTGTCTTAGGGGTTCCTGAAACGGTGCAGAGGACTCTGATTGATCTTTCAGTTCACGGCCCTACGGGCCATGATTCCTTATATGACCTACAGCCAGTCCTTCGCGCCCTTATGCGCTACAGCCGCCTTTGATCATCGGTTCTGGTGGGCTGCCCGGGTCCCTCTTCGGGCCTCATCAAACATTCCCTTGATCGGCTCAGACCCTTGCGAGCACAAGGCTCTCTTTTAGGCGCTGTGGACCCCTGACAGATACAAGCCCCCCAGAGCGCAAATTACTGGCTCCGGCTTGATACCTGATTAGGAAGGGTCCTCAGGCTCTGCTACACCGAAGCCGAGTATGTGGTTAGCGTAGTACCTGACCAATAGACAGGATTATATCGGCCTCATGGCTTCTTCCGATCGGCGCAAAGGGCCCTCTCTGACCGTTATTTGAGGGTCTGTTCGCAGGTCGGGCCCCTGATGAAAAGACTCCGACTAGCCCCTACCCTTGACCCTCCAATCAGGGCCCTTGATCGCCGCGGACCCAATGGGCCCTCTAGGCTCTTCGGGCCTCCTCGAACATTGCCTCTGCCGACTCAGGGCGCCTTGACAGCACAGGGCCCTGTTAGGCGCTGTGGGGCCGCGAACAATGTAAATCGCGCCTCCGGCTTTGGTCCACTGCTTGGGAAGTGCCCTCAGGCCCATGCGCTTGGGCTTGGGCCTTGGGCTTTGTCACTCAGGCCCATGCCGCCAAGGGGGCGACATTGCGTTACTGGTGGCGTCTGATCGAAATATTGGCCCCTGTCGACTCAGTGGAGCCCTGATCAGTGCAGAGCCCTCTGGCTGGTATTGGAGTGCCCGGCCCTGCGGGCCGAGGCTCCTGAATGAGACCTCAGGCTAGCCTTTTTGGACCTTAGGGCCCTCAAATTTTGGTCAAATTTCAAGGTCGATTGTGGCGCTCAGAAAGCTCGAAAGGCGAAGTTTCGAGATCAAACGGCGGGGTAGCGCTGCAACGCTGTTGTACGGGATCGATGTTTGTAAATAAGACGTCACCTGGGAGATAAATGTCGATTTCGCGCAAAAGCGCATATATGAAAGCAATTATCAATAACATTCAACGCCAAAGGACGGCGTAGCGCTGCAGTGTCGCTTTAGAGAACCGATCTACTCAAATCAGAAGTCATTTGTGAACGGCTCTGGTTGCCTTAAGTACATCTGTTACGATAAAATGGATATGCTCTTGTGGGAAGGATGGGTGGTAGGACAGGTGGTTAAGAAACAAAGCTAGGAATACAGCGATAGCTGGCCACTCAAAGCGGCGCAAGAGAGGCGTGAAGGAGCGCATTCTGTTCATCCCATTGTTGTGTGGATATTTCTTTATTGCTTGTCCATTCATGTGTTGAGGCGTTCGCAAACAAGTTCAAATGTATGAGGACGTTTGAAGCGTAGGTGGGTTCCCAGGTTTGTCTCGATCGTTTCTTGAGGATGACGTATTTGGAGGTGAGACATGGTTGGATGCCTCTGAGTCAGAAATCGTGCTCTGCTGCTAAACTGAGATGAGATGTGATTTTCGTAGCGGTTTAATATTCTGTGAACTTTGCAATGTAAAGAAACGATGATGCATGCGAATGGTCTTTAATTATAGGACAACTGCTACTTTATTTTACAGAAGGGTTTTAAGAAATCAATATAACCAAGCAGAACCATTCAGTCAAGGAAAATGACCCAAGTGACCCCTAGTTGGTGATGGCTGCCGGGCTTGTTACAGCCACTGGAGGGCTAGAAAATATTGGTGGACCCCAATCACCATCACTGTCCAGCCAATAGCTCAGTTTATGTTGCATTGCCACCTTGATGTACTCCAGCCATGCTGCATTGAACATAGAGTAAGGACTTCAATGAGCCATACTGAAATGCAGAGACAAAAACAGTTTAAAGCATAACAGACCAGGTAACAGGCATATGCCAACCTGATGCTGGTCAGGCTGGCCAGGATTGGAACTGATGGACAAGACTGGAGAATAAATGTTTGCCAAGTATGTGGGAATATGTCCACATGTCTGACATATCATGACCAGTATCACACACTCAGGTTTCAGTGCACTACTACTTTCAGAGCATAAAGAGTCAATGTTTAAGGGAATTTCAATATTGCAATGACAATTTCAGGCAAGGACTTTTTCAAACATGTAGAATAAATTATGTACAAATTGAGCATGATTGGCCTGGCCTGAGTATGGCACACATAAGCACAAGGTTGAGCACAATGATGTCATATAGGCATTAAATGTGGTAGATGGATTGCACAGTCTGGTTAGCAGATAGAGGATGGTCTACTGGAACATGCCGCTCCCACTAAAGGAAGCAAATCCCTAGATCATTCCAAGTAATGCTAAATGAGATAATGTCAAGTCAGAACATAACCAGTTCATTCAGGTGTTTCTACAAGCATTAGCAACACTAATGCTGAGGGGTGTATTATCAGGGGTGCCATATCACTTTTAATGCATGGTTTTTAATACAGGAGGTAAAGCCAAATAAGAATGGGTCAAGTTTGGAGAGACTATCTTGCCCTTGCCCAGGCAAAACATGAATGGCAATATTACTCTATTGATATATTAAAAGGTGAGATCTAAAATTTTATGTCAAGGAAAGGCATTCAGAGATATATGCATACATGAAGCCATGCAGAAATGCACAAATGATTGAAGTGGTTGGTCAAAGTACGTGCTTTCCAATCTTCACATCTATGGTAGGGTGGGCTCAGGCCTCATCAAGCACATAATTTACCCTGCACTGAGATGGTATGCAGCCAGTGACAGCCACTTAAAATCAAGTCATGTCGGATGCAGCATGTTGACCTTTCCCCACCAAATTCTGCTGTTGACCTGGAATGATGCAATCCGATGGTGGGGTCGGGGCTAAAGTAATAAGCACAGCCTAGTCAGGGCTCTGATCCCAGAAATCAGTCCATGCAAAATAGTTTAACTGAGTCTAAACAGAAAAATGCAGTAAGAAGGTAAAGCTCCAAATCAATAGAGAGAAAGGACAGTGTTTCAAATAGACAGGAATGTGACTTGGCATAAGTTCATTTGCCTTTACAGACAGTTTCTCTACAGGGCAGGGCTAGTGCTATCAATTTGTGATGGGTAGGGGGGGAAAGGAGGGAAGGCAGACCATACAACCAGTGTCATAAAACTTGTTGTAAAAATGGGTTATAATCATGAGGTCCATAAATGAATTATCCCGAATGATTATTGCTGTGCAAATTCTTCCCATGCCTTGTACTGTACCAATGATTGGAATGTCTTATCACAATGTCAGCTTGCTGACCAGCATGTACAACTGTGTGACCATTCAAACATGCCATGCAAAAGTTGATCAAGCATGTGCATGTCAAGTGGCAAAACACCAGCAGGGTTGAGATTCATGCGTGTTCACCTGCAAGCCACCTCTCTTAGTTGTGGCGATTAGGCCTATGCTTTTTATGGACCTTAAAAGTCCTATGCATATGAGGGGCCTCCATCACATCTGATGGGACCTCCTGTCACCAACAAGGCCATCTTTGGACCACCAGACCGTCCTGTGGTCAGAATATTGTCTCCTGCATTGCCTCGAGGGCCCTCCTTTGCACTTGATGGAATGGTCTGTACCTGTCATCTGCAGTCCACTGTCACACTACAGGGCCTCCTTAAATTCAAGAGGAATTCAACGCACCCCTGTTTTCCCCTTGAACATTCCCCAAATGGGTCCCCCTTGGCAAGCCACAATGAGGCAAGCTGGCCCTTGTTCTCTGGTGGGCACTGACCCTGGATGCCTCCCAAAGGTCAATAATCCACAGCTTCTTGCTTCTGTGTAACCAAGAATAAGAACACTAGGGTCTTGAAGACAAAGATGACATGGATGAAAGGGAGCTGCTTCAGTGTAGTTGAGCAAAAGGCGTAAAGTAATCAAAACTAAAGACATGTTTGGCTGTTGCCAACAAATCAGAGTACACATAGATTGACATGCATTGCCCTACTTTGGTGGCACATTTATTATTATATTGTATTCATTTTTCCCAGGAAAACACAAAAATGAAAAGATGCATTCTGGCAAGTTTTCTGGTACCATCCCTGTTGATTATTTCAACACATTTTAAGTACTACTTCAAAATGTCCGGTAGGCCAGGTCTCAGTATAGGTCAGTGTGATTGATCCAATGCTCAAATGATTTAACATGTTGTACTTGCTGGAAAAGCAATGTCTGAACACAGCTTTACAGACTTAAAACATTGCACCTAAGGAAAAGCAATTATGCTGCCAGAATTTTTCAGAAGTTGGCGATTTTCTTCGTCTTAGGTCATGTAATTCACACCATTTTCCACAGAATTGCATTATTTTAGAGAACAGCAGGTATTTGAAAAACAATCTTTATGGGTTTTGCAGATAAAGAACATTGTGAACATGTTTTACTGGCAATGAAACAGAAAGAACAGCTCAACAAAATGGGAACAGAACAATAATTGTGTGGACAGTGTACAAAAAGTAGTGGCTAAAGGTACAAAATCATGCAGGCAGCAAAAACTGATGCAGTCAAAAAGACCACAGTATATTTTTTCACTTGATTCAAAATGAAAAGGGAACAGAAGTTACTTTTCAGACAATAATGCTCACACATTTCACTGCCTCTTGTTACCTGCACCCTGAAACCCAGTACCCCTGTACCCTTGTGTAAAATAAAGCAAATGTTAGATAGGTTTGGGCGAATGTCTGTGCTCAGCTTCAGTTGTTTGTGGTTGCTGTTCCAATTCAAGCGTGACACTCAAACATGTACCATCAGAGGCAAAGCATTCTTGTTGGACTGGATTTTGCAGGTTGGACTGGCATCATGAGGATGGGCTGGATGCTTGGCCACAGGATTGCTCTCAAATAGATCACCTGTTTATTAATGACAGATGGGTCAGTGCTTTCACCTGACCTGGATGATGCAATAGTTGTATCTTTTGTCTGTGATTACATAAATTAAAATGCAGGACCTGTTCACATGTTGAAGCATGAAACCAGTCACCAGATTCATCTATATGAACTGCAGATTCTGCACTCAGCATACCTGGGGATCCAGCCTCCCAGCCTAGCATAGAGGGGGTATTCTGGAGCCGAAGATGCTACAAACAAATGACTGGATTAGAGAGAGATGGACTGAATATGTTTAACACACTCCAACAATCGTGGGAATACGGCTCAGTGGTCATGTATATAAGTCCCAGGGCAGTTCGTATTCTCGAAAGGTGAAAAGGCTCGCAGCGGAGCGTCATATTTTTTTTGGCAGTTCATGCCTGGAGAGGTGAACAAACTTTTTGGGGTGAAAAATGGATGCCCATAAGCAAAGATACTTGGAAATAATGAATTTTCTCCTGTAAAGAGTTTTTTGGATAGGGGGGGGGGGGGGCTGTCTACCTATCCAAAGACAGAGAGAGAGAGAGAGTGCGGTCCCCCCCCCCCCCCTGGACGCTGTCCCTGCCTGCAGAGTTAAAATGTTACTTGGTTATTTGCATTCAAACAGACCCTTCACAGCATATTTATATTCCTGAACAAAATATGGGAGCAGATGCAGAATATAAGCCATCATGTTTCAATAAATTCAATGTAACATGGAATGGGAGTTGTATTCTGGGAAAGGCCTTCATTCAATGACCTAGATCATTTGAGAGAACAAACTCTGAAAATCACCACAATGACAGAGGATATCACCAAAATAGTTCCAGATGTACACCACAGTTCTTTAGCAATTACGCCTCAATATGCAGCTTGATGTTATCAGATGTGAATTCTGGCACAATGGCACCTCAGAATTTTTAGATCATCACCTAAACTGATTGTCACAACAATAGATTTGTATTGTAAACAATTCACTTAGCTTCTGTTTCCATAACTGCATGCTGCCGAAATATCCACCCGATTATATCTCCATTCTCCTAGTTTTTCTCCGAGGAATAAGGCTAATACTGCTGTCTTATCTATCTATGTGAATAATGCTACTCGCTAATGTAATGAACACTTTATGTAATTATAATGCCATTGTCAAAAAACAGAATCTCGAGGCAGCGTCCAAGTGCCAGTTAATGAGGCGATTAACATGTTTTTATAATTTCTTTACAGATTTGACATTGTGGCAGGAAGAATGAGCCCAGAGGATGTGGATGAGTTCCCAGGGAGACTGCTACATCAGGTAATATAACGACAGCTTTGCGTCGTATTTCAACTCAAGGTATTTAAGATTGCGTGGCCACTATCTCTTTCCCCTGCTTTGCCGCCTGAAGTGGTTACCTGTCGCACCACTTGGAGACAGGTTCTGCAAACCACATTCGTGGTGTATGCTGCAAGTGGGATTACTGAGAATCTCATTGCACTGCTGTGTTTGACAGCCAATAGCCAACCTTGTCTTCACGCGTATTTTAACGCACACTTGCGATATCATCACGCGCACAGCTGTCCCCGAACATGTCTAGAACACCATGCAGGCTCCACATCACACCCGTACGAGGTTCATCACCGTTCACGGTTACCTGATGACATAAGTGCGGTTGCGGACGGGCTTAAAATAACACCAAGGCGCCAGCCGCGCATTGGACCATCTCTTTCCAGAGCCTGGTTCGGGCGGCTTGGTCCCCGCGGGCGTCCAGGACCAGGACCAGGACCAGAACCAGGTCCAGGTCCAGGTCCAGGTCCAGGTCCAGGACCAGGACCAGGACCAGGACCAGGACCAGGACCAGGACGCCCGGACCGGCCACCCAGGTCGCTGTTTGCGCCGCCGGTGGACTCTAAGATCACACGGCCGGAATCGGTGTGAGGCGTCGCGAGCTGCGGCGCGCCACGCCGTCCGGCCGGGTGACCGCGTCCGTGTTATATGACACTGTGTGTGACCGTCTGACCGTGCCCCCGGTGACCCCGTCTCTCTTGATCGTGTTTGGCCGTGTCTCCCGTGACCGTGTCCCCCGTGACTGTGTGTGACCGTGTCTCCGTGCCTCCCATGACCGAGTGGGACCGCGTCTTCCATGTCCGTGTATGACACATGTCTTCCGTGACCGCGTATGACTGTGTCTCCCGTGAACGTGTGTGACCGTGTCTCTCGTCGCCAGGCGGCGCTCTGGGACAACGCCGAGCTGCTGGAGGATCTCCTGGCCAGCGAGGAGATCGCGCACATCAGCTCGCGCGACTCCTGGGGCCGCACGCCGCTGCACGCCGCCGCCACCACCTACAGCTCGCGCTGTCTGCGCGTGCTGCTCCAGTCGGGCGGTCAGTGGAAGGACAACGCCTCTCCTCACACCCTCCCCCTTCCTGGCGACACCGGCAGCCATGCGGACGGCAGAGGAGGAGTGAACGGGAGTGTGTGTGGTGTGCGATTGTGTAGGGGGGCTTCACTGGGCTGGTGTCTGTCGGCCTGATAGCTTGAGTATGACTGTCTGCTCTCAGGATGTGCATATGCTATGCGTGCGCTGAATGTAACTTGTGGAGGAATCTCCATTAACACTATCCAGGGTTTGTGCATGTGCATTATAGAATGAGTGTGGAGAGCCCTTGTTCAGAGGGAATGCATCCTCACTAACGTCGCGGTTTGACCCGTGCCTGGGAAGCGCGGCAGGTTGTGTTACGCCGCGCAGCGAGAGCTGGGCCGGCTCAGCCCATTTGTGGTTTTCGGATGCCAGACCCGACCCTCGCTGGGCGGTGTTCACGGTCCTGGACCGCCAGCTGCGGGCCGGGAGGGCGGCTTGAGCCGGGGTCTGGCAACGCGACAGGCACGGATCGCGCCGCGGCGCTGGTCACAAACGCACGACCCTGAAGCACTGATGAGGGGTTGCTGTCGCATGTTGTCATTGCATGTTGAAGTGTAGCGCAGTCTCGAAAATATATTATAATGGCTACTAGTTGAGCTTTTGTCTTTTTTAATTGGGTTGCTTGGCCTTTGCTTATTTAAAGCCGAAGCACGCGATGTTTGCATGAAGCACTGCACTGCACAGCGCTTACACTGGATACACCTCGAGGCTGGGTTGCTGCTCGGGCGGCAGCTGGTGAGGGGCATAGCTGTCCGATTCGTCGTCGGCGACTGAAGCGCGCCCCAGCGCCACCTGTGGCGTCGACGGCTGGTCCGTCGCTCCAGACCATCCGTTTGGCGGGCGGCGGGGCGGCCGGTCCGTCGGTCCAGACCAGACCGTCTGGCAGCGGCGGCGGCGCGTGTCCGCCGCCCAGACCAGCAGTCCGCTGCAGACAAGCCCTCTGGCAGCGGCGGGCCGGTCCGTCGGTCCAGACCACCGCCTGGCAGCGGCAGCAGGGCCGGTCCCTCCGCTCCAGACCAGCCGTCTGGCAGCGGCGGCGGCGGGTCCACCGCTCCAGACCAGCCGTCTGACAGCGGCGGCGGCGTGTCCGCCGCTCCAGACCAGCATCGCTGCAGACCAGCCCTCTGGCGGCGGGCGGCCGTCCGTCGGTCCTGACCCACCGTCTGGCAGCGCAAGCGGCCGGTTCTCCGCTCCAGGACCAGCCGTCTGGCAGCGGCTGCCGGGTCCGCCGCTCCAGACCATCCGGTCTGACAGCGGCGGCGACCGGTCCGTCGGTCCAGACCAGCTGTCTATCTATCTATCACTACGAACGCTGTCGGGCCCAGCGGGCGCCCCAAAACCATTACAACGCTGAAAATCACTCGGAGGATATCACCAGTCACAGCAATAATCTCTGCCTTTTGCCGACTTTGATCTCACGTCATTCACGCAATCACGCTGGACGGGGCAAAATACGGCGGTGTTTGGCTCTGGTTGCGGAAGTTTGGCAGCTGTTATGGAAAATCGCTGAGCGCAGTGGGGTCTGTAGTCCATGTTTTTGCATGTTTTCTGTCGCATATGCAGGGGCAGAAAAAACTGACATTTTGTTGCACCGCAAGTCACGAATGAATTCAGTAATACACATTTCTACCATGCATGTGTCGGAGATTTCGAGAAATGCTCATTTCTCTACAGTCTGACCGCCTATACGCCCTCCATAACACGTGCCGAAGTAATCTCAGGTCACGGCAGCAACGCAGCCACGCTCTTCTCGGCAGACCATCTGCCGCCTCCCGCACGTGACAGTTCTTACTGACCCGGCGTGGCTTCTCTTACCCCCCCCCCCCCTTCAAGAAAGGCGCTCTGCCTGCTATAACTCACGTAAAAAATCGTGGCTGTAACAATGGCTTGTGACTAGAGCTCCAAACTTCGTGAAAATAAATATCGGTTAGGTTTTGACGCCATGTAATGGACTTTTCTGCCAAACATTAGCGTTGCAATCGACTACGATGTTACAGATACCGTCACCGTAATCATGTATGAAAGTCATTGCTTAAGCCATACATGTGAGCTTTACCGGCACGTGGATCCAGTACGACCCTGATTCTCGTAGGTGCTTTTTGGGGTTCGAGTTATCCTGACGCTTGCGTCTTCACATCAATTATTGACGCTTGGGCTTCCTTGCCGTGTTTTACTGGACGTAAAGATTATAAACGTGAACACTACCAACGCAAAACTACCCGCAGTCTCTTTCCACGTGTTTCATTTAGTGTGGTGGAAATCTGCGCACGCTTGAAATACGATTGGAATATTTAGTGATCGTTGGATGGTAAAGCTATCTTCGCCGATCGGAGCCCGAGTGATGTTAAAGTGATAGCACGTGCTGGTAGCGTCGCCTTCATGGGGCAGAGGCGGTGGGGTGGTGCGGTTCCGTACGGCGCCGAACATACCGCTGACGTTTATCGAACATGATGACGCGGTCAAAAACTTGGGTGGTGTAGCCCTACCGAGAACGAGTAAAACGTATGTTTGTGAATGCCGCTGTCTTTCGTCGCACATCGCGTGAGGTTGTACCAGTCATGTTTAGCTAGCCTTGAAGACAGGCAACGTTTCTCTGGTTAATAGACTGATGGATGGTCACGCTCGCTGTTTCTGTAGCTTTATATCCCGCTAAGTGTGTTAGGTACAACGTTTTGAGTGCGCGTACCGGTTATCGCCATTCTTGTCGGAATTCCCACCGTCGTCCTTGTCAGAGAAAACTGAATTGCCCCCACTGCACACTGACGGAATCAACATTCAGGCCACGAAGTGCTCTATTGAAGGGGTCATGTGCCAAACTGCGCAACAGATGCTCGTTTTCTAGAAGAACTCAGATGCACGGTCGCATGCTCAAGTGTCGAGTGTGAGTCGAGCGCGTGAT